GTATACAAACAAAACACTCTAGTTTGTAAAATTTGTTTCTTTCAAGGTTATGTGTTAGGAATTCTGTCACCACTTATACTAGAGTTGAACAAGCAAGTAAATATGTTGTAGATAGTGAGAGTCAGGTTTCTGACATCAGAGAAGGAAATTATAAATCAGGAAAGGGGAAGGTTAGAATGAAACTCTGTTTCTAGATTGGAATTATTAGTATCAATATGGACTCATGAATGGATGGATGGATGGATGGATGTGGGGGTGGGTACATTAGTAAACATATATATTTTCAAGTGACTCTAGCCTCTGAGAGGAGCTACCAAATAGTAATTAGCACACCTAGTACCCAAATCATTGGCTTCTAAATAGCAATAAAAGGAATCAGGATTCCTTGGAGAGCTGGTTGATTTCAGGGCTGGGGCAGGGGAAAAATAAAATGAGCCTGGAGCATCTTGTGATGCCAGAAAGTTAAGAAGTACTTAAAAAAAAAAAAAAAAAAAAAGAAAAGGAAAAGAAAAAAAAAACTTATTGAAAGGGCACAGAAATCAACCAGAAAGAGCTTCCAATGGCCAAAGTTGGAACAACTTGAGCAACAGAATAACTATAGTATTAGTTTATAACCCAAAGAATAAAATAAATATCCATGAGTTCATACTGAAATAATAATAAACAAAGAAATGACAATTTTTCCTAATAAAAAAATTCCAATTAATAAATGTAGAAGGATTGAGGAAATAGAAAGTCATTGTTAGAATGCCTCAGTAACAGTTGCTGAAAGCAAGATCCACTGATTAATGGTAAAATAAGTGGGCATAGGTTTAGACAGAAACAGAATATTTTCATAGTCTGAAAGTATTTAGTAATTACAAAGGGAAAAATAAAAATAGTAAGTTTTCATAGAGAATTCTGACAGATACTACTTTAGCAAAGCAATTAAGTAAACATCACTAGTAAAACGCACTGACATCTTGTACACCCAATATGATACTCTGAGAAGGGCACATATATAAACACACAAATAGATACTACTTTAGCAAAGCAATTAAGTAAACATCACTAGTAAAATGCACTGACATCTTGTACACCCAATATGATACTCTGAGAAGGGCACATATATAAACACACAAACAGATAAGTTTATTGTCAATCTAATTATGAGAAAACAGTCAGACAAGCCAATATTGAAGGACATTCTTAAAAATGACTGGCATTCCACAAAATACTCTTTTGAAAAGTGTCAAAGTCACAAAAAACAACGAAAAACTTAAAGAACTGTCACAGATTGGAGAAGACTTTGGAAACAATGACAACCAAATTCAATGTGGGGTCCTGGATTCTGCAACAGAAAAAAGGCATTAGTGTAACAACTGGAGAATTCCAAATAGTCTGTACTTTGATTGATAGTATTGTACCAAAGTTAATTTCTTCGGGTTTTTTGCTCGTTTTGTTTTGTTTTTTCGTCTTGATTTGGGGTTTTTTTGGTGGCTAGCAGGTACAGGGATCTGAACCCTTGACCTTGATGCTATAACACCAGATTTCTCAGTTTTAATTAATAGTCTGGTTATATAAGATGTTTTCAGAAGCAGAAGCTGGGTGTAGAGTATATGGGAACTCTTCGTATTACTTTTGCAATTCTTCTATGAGTCTAAATTTACATCAAAATATAAAAAATTAATTGTTTTTAAAAAATGCAGCTGCCATTGTGGCTGGGGCTTTCTTGCTATGTGTGAGCCAGCCATCTGTTATTCTCCATCTCTGGCTATAGAGCGGAGTGTCTTTTCAGAACTGGCTGGTCAGGAAATTCATTAGCAGGACAATGAATGAGATCTAAATTGTGCTGCTTCTGAACAGATAGAAGAATCATGGCTGGTACTATTCTTTTAGGACTTGACAAGGAATACAGCAGAACCATTCCTATAATGCTGTACCCAGAAGCCACTTGTTCTTTTTAATCAGACCACTACCAGAAAGACTCTTAGCCCTGCTGAAAAACTTGGTCTTAGCATAGTGTAGCCTGAAGGAACAAACACAACTTCAGAATCAGAAGTCCTAAATTCAAATCCCAGCTTTGTTAGTTCTTCCCTGAGTAAACTTGAGCAAGTCTCTTGATCTCCCTGAGCTCCATTTCCTGTCTAAAATGCATGGGATAAGAATATATGCCTTCCAAGGCTGTTGTAAGGTTTGAATGAAATAACATATATGCAAGTACATTATAAACTTTAAAATATGGTCCAAGTTTTTGTTTTAAGAGAGGCACTGTGACATATTGTATTACTTCCCACACTTCAGGCAGTTTCATGCCATTTTGACAGATTTTACTGTCTCTGACTAATGCAGTACTATTGTTTACTTTATATTTTTTAAAATCAACTTTAAAAAAAAATCAGTTAATTTTCAAAGGCAGTTTTTATCACTCAGTGAATGGAAAATCATTATTTTTAATGCACATTAGAATAAATGTATAATTAAGAGTTTATCTGTGCACTACCTAAAAATATCTTATGTTTCTCCAGTAGTATGCATACATACTATGGGAAATACTAATAGTGGAAAGAAGGGTAGTCTTAGAGTCTGCTAGCCTGGGTTCCAACCCTGATTCTGCTGTTTAGTTTCTGTCTCCTCAAGTGAAATACTTCATTTCTCTGAGCCTTAGATTCAACTGTTCAGTGGGAGTGATATTAATATTTTCCTCATGAGTTATTTTATCCAAGATAATAGTACCTAACACATAGTAGGTGTCTATCATATGTGAGTTTCCTTATTCCAGGTGGGGTTGAGGTAGAACATGAGCTTTTATATTTCAGAACAAGAAATTGGCAAGATGTAAATCGTTAAGGCTTGTGGTCCTTTAAAAACGTAAAGCATGTTGATGTCCTCCCTCACTTCCAGGACAGTGAGAGTGAGTTATGGGCTGAAATATATTCAGCGTTATGTCTGCCAGTGACATAACTTTGTTCTGTACCTGTGAGCTGAAGCAAAGACATGTAAGATGTCAGTATTGGAAGTAAAAGTGCCTAAAGACTGTCATTGACCCTGGAACAGCAGAGAAGGGATTTTAAGAACTTTTAGAACTTGAAACTAGGTTGAAAGAGGGCTCCCAGAGAACAACAAGCATACATTTAGTTCTAATATAGGCTGTGTATGTTTCTTACTCCAAATTTACAGCAGACAGACTTGTAGAGCAGTCTATGTTGCCTCCGTTTTGCAGATGAAGATGTTAAAGCTCTAGCAAAGTTGAGAATGGAATTTTGGTTTTTAAACTCCTATGTTCAGAGAAAAGAGGCTAGGGAAAGGAAAAGATTAGTTACTGAATTCTACTTTATATGACAGTGCCTATAGGCTTGGTGTTTTTAGCTATACTGTTTTATATAATGTAACAACCCATAAGACAAGTACCAATATCCCCTCTTTACTCTTCAGTAAACGGAGATTCAGAGAGTTAAAGAAACTTGTCCATAATAACACAGACCAGGCAGAAATAGAATTTAGACCCACGCTTATCTAATTCTGAAGTGTGTAGGATACCAAGAATGATTTCTACTTTAAGGAAAATGACCTTTTTGTCAGCTTTTTAGTTTCCACAGAAACTGAGTGTTATGCTTATAGCCCTGCCCCAAGGACTTTCTAGATCTCTTATGTTATCTATTTCTTTTTTGACAGCAGGTATATTATAGCAAAGCTTGTTCTCACATACAGCCATTAGTTTATCCTCTGTCATTGTTAACATTACCCCCTCCAAGCCACCTTCCACAGTGGCTGTCACAAAGATTTTTTTCAAAAATGCCAACATGACCATACTGCTCCCCTGTAGTCCTTCTTGTCATCAGCTTTCTCAGCTAAAGTCCATACCCTGGCATTCAAAGCTCTTTATGATCTGGCCCCAGTTGGCTTCTCCAGCCTCATCTCTTGCTGTTCTTCCCCAACATAACCTACTCTCTTCCCAGTGCGTTAGCCAGATTGAACCACTTGGAAATTCCCGGAAAGAATGGTTTGTTCTTAATTTCAACTTGAAGCTTTTCTGTACAGTGTTCACTCAGTGTGGAGCACCCTCTTCCTGCCCGCCTAAATTCTACTCATCATTTAAGACTCAGTTGAGAAGTTGTCTTTTCCAGAAAGCTTTGCCTGACACCAGGATCCTACTATAATTGCAAATCAGGAGTTTCTTCTTTGCATGCCTATATTTTAAGTGCTCCATAAACAGTGATAATAACATTATTAGTACTTCTTATTCCTGTAAGACTGATACTGTTTAAAGGATGTTTTTTATAGTTACAAAATGCTAAGTAAGCTTCTTTAATTGCAACAGAGTTCCATTGACTGCCTTTGCAGGGAGGAACCAGTGAGGTCAAAATTATAATTAGTGGGCCAGCCTGGTGGTGCACTGGAGAGTGCACCGCTTGGGAGCGCGGTGGCGCTCCCACTGAGGGTTCGGATCCCATGTGGAGACCGGTTACCGCTCACTGGCTGAGCATGGTGCGGGCGCAACACCGAGGGTTGCGATCCCGTTACCGGTCAGTAAAAAAGACCAAAAAAAAAAGGAAAAAAAAAATTATAAGTAGTAAAAAAAAAAAAAAGTGAAAGCAAAAACCTGTTCTCCTGATACTACATATTAGACACAAGTTTAGGTTGGGAATAAAAAATATGTTATTTTAAAATGGAAATATTTTATACATCCTCTGGAATTTACCAAAGCCTTCCCATATATCATCTGGTGGGATATTTCTAACTATAGGACTAGTTAACAATGCTATCACCTTTGTTGAGCATGTTGAATGTATACAGTGTGTGTAGTATGCACCCACTACCTTGGGGGCCCAAAGTATCTGCTGCTATGAAGAAGCCTGGATAACTAGAAAGAGTGTGTGCTTTGGGTCCAGAAAGACCTGTGTTTTAATCTTGGCTTCTCCAATTACTAATTATGCTTTTGGCCAAATAAGTTCTCTTTTTGTGCTTAGACTTCTGTGAACATGCTTCTCACTGTCTTGACTTGTTTCCTTCCAGCTATCAGAGAAGATGGCATGCCTGGAGGCCGAAATAAGAGCATTGGGCCAGTCCAGGTGAGTTCTAGACCTCACACTCTCTGGTTCATCCTGGAAACTCAGGGCTCCCAATGCTTCTGTAGCTCACCTTGGTCCTGGTGGAGGGAGCATCTTTGCTTTCATTCCTGTAAAACTGCTTTTAGGGCCTGGAGGTGAAAGTGCATTGCAGATCTTAAATATATAAGATAATGATGAAAGATCTTGTGATTACTCAAGCCTTCTTAAGGATTTTTTAGGCAGTGACCCAATTCTGCTTATGAGTTATCCAGAGGATTTTTTTTTTTTTTGTCAGTCATATAAGGGTGTAGGTAACTTAGCCTAGTAGAAATCAGCAAGACTTCTTTGCTGTTCATTTCATGTAAAGATATATAGGCAGAATGTTCATTGCCTTGTTTGTAGAGTAGGAATGATAATACCATTCAGTCTCACAGACATTTTTACTAAATTTCTTCTCTACCAGGCCTTATACTGTGAACTCAGTTTAGTGAGAGAGGCTGATACATAAACAGACATCACATACAGTGAGAGATAATAGAGGATGTCCAGGGAGTACTGGGAGGTGGGGGGTACTTCTATTCTGTTTGGGCTGGAGCCCTGGTTGGGGACTGGAGACACTCAGGGAAGGCTTCCTAGAGAAGATAAAGTTTGAACTGAGTCTTGGGGAAGGAAGAATTAGCTGTTCATGGAGGGATGGGAAGCCAGGCATTTTTTCTTCATGCTAAAGAGAACAGACTGTGAAAAGACCTGAGGATGAATCTTTAAGGAATGACAAGGATTTCATTCAGTCAATGGAGCATTGAGCACATGGAGTGGTAGGAAGATAAGACAGATTCCTTGAAATTTTTTTTTTTTTGTCCTTTTTGAGACTGGCCGCACCGTGCTCAGCCAATGAGCGCTGTGAGCGCACCGGTCATCCCTATATAGGATCCAAACCCGCGGCAGCAGCGCTCCCAGCACCGCACTCTCCCGAGTGCACCACGGGCTCGGCCCAGATTCCTTGAATTTGAAAACAGTTCTCTAAAGAGTGTCCTTCAGTTGTCTTTGACTGTAGCTCCTCAGGTAAAGCCTTTGTGAGGCTGGCCTACACCACTTGGTTTTTTTTGCCAACAGAAGAAGATCTTCATGAGGATAGAGAATTCGGTCTAGTTTTGACCTATTAAGTGAATCCCTCAGCACACTAGTGGACAGGGAGCATACCTTAAGAATTATTGGTGTGGACCAAGAGGCAACCACTAAAAGGTTTTAAGTAGGAAGAGGAGATTTTCATTTTAGAAAGATCTTTCTAGATTTTCATTTTAGAAAGATCTTTCTAGCAGTGGAAATGGTTTGTGATGAGTGGGGTGAGAGTGAATGAAACTGAGGTAGAGAAAAAGTAGTTGGAAGGGTTTTGTAGAAGTCCAGGTGAGATATAGGTAATAGTTTGAAGTAGGGCAGTGACAGTGCAGATTGAGGGGAGGGAATAGATTGAAGAGATATTTAATAGGTAATTGATAGGATTTATGCAATTAAATGTGAAGGAATGAAAGAAGGACAGGATTTCCGAGTTGTTTTGACACACACAATGATGATCTCTGGAGTATTTCCTGTCACATGAGCTTTGTACACAGTATGCACTCAATAAGGGGGTGTGTGTGAAAGAGAGAGACTCTCAAGTCTGCAGTATTCATTCTTTTTTTTTTTTTTTTTTTTGATTATGCATCTTTAGTTTCTTTTAAACTAGTACATTTCCCCCACTTTCTTCTTTCTTCTTGACTTTAGTTTTTGAAGGGTTGAGGCCAGTTGTCCCACAGTCTGGATTTGCCTTATTGTTTCCTCTAACTTCATCTTCTATGTCCTGGATTTTCTCTAAAGTTTATTCTCTCACAGTTCTGTGGGGCAGAAGTCTGAAAGGGGCAGGCAGGGCCACACATCCTCCAGAAGTTCTAGGGGATAATTCGTTTATTGTCTTTTCTAATTTCTGGTGGCTTCAGATGTTCTTTGGTTTGTGGCAGCATCACTTCAGTGTCTCCTCTGTGGTCACAGTGCCTCCTTTTCTCTGCCTTTTTTAGTTTTGGAGGCTGGGCATTCCAAGGTCCAGGGAACACATCTGGTGAGGTCCTTATTCTTGGTGGTGACTCTCCATAACAACGCAGGGTATCATGTGGTGAGAATGGACAACTTCCATCTCCCAGCAGTCAAAGGTTTGCTCCATGGAACATTAGCAGCTACCCATTTCTTCCAGGCCACCAAGGACATCGCCTGCCTCACCAATTTTGGAGGCTGGGAAGTCCAAAGTCCAGGGAACACTTACGGTGAGGGGCTTCTTTGGTTGTGAAGTTCTGGAAGCTGGGAAGTCCAAAGTTCAGGGAACATATCTGGAGAGGGCCTTGTTCTTGGTGGGGACTCTCTACAGTGATGCAGGTGAATGACTGAGCAAGAGAGACTGATTTTTTTCCTTTTTACTCTCTGACTTCAATTTGAATAGTTTGTGTTACTGTGCATTCATTTGTCTTGTCTTCTGCAGTGTCTAATATTCTGTTAATGCTATCCAGTGAATTTTTAATTTCACTTATTGTATTTTTTCAGCTTGGGTATTCTCGAGTTCTGAAGCCAGAGATTGCACTTTCTTGGCTTTATCCTTTTCTGTTCGTAAAGAGTTGAATCTGATCAGGGAGAGGAGCTGGGACATTGAGGGGTCATTGCACTGTCCCTAGACTGCCTACATCCGGGCTTGTCATTATGGGAGGAAAACAAACCCCTATTTGGCTAAGTGACAGCCGTCAGGTTTGCTCTTCTACTCTGACAGAATAAAATTCATATTCTTCTTCCTCATCACCCTCTCCTTTTTCATCAGCAGTATTCACCATGTTCGTGTTGATAATTGTTCATGTCATCTGGATGAGTTTCTAAGGCTGGCAAGTCCAAAGTCCATCTGGTGGTGGTTACAGTGACCCAGGAGTCTCACATTGCAAGATGGTGGAAGCAGAAAGAACAGAGAGCCATTCTTATTTTTTTGATCAAACATTTTTATTCTTGTTATTCAAGTTATATATATCTCTTGTAAATTTATTTATTTTGGTCTGGACTTAGTTTTAAAAAAAACTAACATGAAATCTACCTTCTTAAATTTTTAAATATACAGTACACTTAAAAACTTAGTGTACATTGTTACACAGCAGATCTCTAGAACTTTTTCATCTTACGTGACTGAAACTCTATATCCACTGAAAAGCAACTTTCCATTCTGCCTTTCCCCTACCCCTTGGCAACCACCATTCTAGTTTCTATTGAGTTTGACTACTTTAGATACCTCATAAGGTAAAATCATGTAGTATTTATCCTTCTGTAACCAGCTTATTTCATTTAATATAACGTCCTCAAGATCCATCTTTGTTGTAGCATATAACTAGATTCCCTTTTTAAAAAAATTTTCAATCTAAGTATTTGGGTTTTTTTTTTTTCATTTTTTAATTTGTTATTAGCATATTCATTCTTACAAATCGTGGCATTTCTTTATGCCCTTTGTCCTACCTATCACTTCCCAAACCCCTTTCCTCCCTCCCTGGATCCCCTTCTTTTTAAAAGCTGTTTGTATGAATATACTACATTTTCTTTATCCATCCCTCTGTCACTGGACATTTAGGTTGTTTCCACCTCTTGGCTATTGTGAATAATGCTGCAATGAGCGTGGGAGTGCATGTTCATGTCTCTTTGAGATGCTGATTTCAGTTCTTTTGGATAAATACCCAGAGAGGGATTGCTGAATATGGTAGTTCTATTTTAAATTTTTTGAGGAAACTTCATACTGTTTTCCATAATAGCTCTCCATTTTACATCCCCACCAACAGTGCACAAGGATTCCAGTTTCTTCATAGTATCATCAATACTTGTTATTTTCTGGTGTTTTGAGAGGACTTTCACTTTTTTGTTTGTTTGGTTTTGGCAGCTGGCTGGTACAGGGATTGAACACTGGACCTTGGTATTATCAACACCACTCTCTAAACAACTGAACTAAATGGCCAGCCCATTTTCTGGTTTTTTGTTTGTTTGTTTGTTTGATAGATAATGGACATTCTAACAAGTGTGAGGTAACACAGTTTTGATTTGCATTTCCTTGGTAATTTGTGATGTTGAGCATCTTTTCATATACTATTGGTCATTGTCTTCTTTGGAGAAATGTCTCTCCAAGTCTCTTGCTCATTTTTAATTAGGTTCTTTGTTTTGTTTGTTTGTTATTGAGTTAATAGGAGTTCCTTATATATGTTGGGTATTAACCCCTTATCAGATATATGGTTTACAACCACATAGTTTCTCATAGATTGACTTTTCACCCAATTGATTCCTTTGCTGGAAAGAAGCTTTTTAGTTTGATATAGTCCTGCTTGTCTATTTTTGCTTTTGTTGCCTGTGCTTTTGATGTCATATCCAAGAAGTAATTGTCAAGCCCAATGTTATGAAGTTTTTCTGTGTTTTCTTTTAGGAGTTTTATAGTTTCAGGTCTTTAAGTCATTAATCCATTTTGAGTTGATTTTTGTGTGTGATGTAAGACAAGGGTCCAATTTTTTTTTGTTGCTCCTCTTTTCTTTTTTTGCATGTGGATATAGTTTTCCCAGCACTATTTGTTGAAGCAACTAAGAGATTTATCCTTTTACTATTGTGTAGTCTTGACATCTTCATTCACTAAATATGTGTGGTTTTACTTCTGACCCCCATATTCTGTTCCATTAGTCTTTATGTCTGTCCTTATGCAAGTACCATATGGTTTAGATTACTATAGCTATGCAATATGTATCAAAGTGAGAAAGTGTAAGGCCTCCAGCTTTGTCATTCTTTCTCAAGATTGTTCTGGCTACTCAGGATTCCATATGAATTTTGGGATTGTTTTTTCTATTTCTGCAAAAAATATCACCTGTCGCGCCCGCACCGCGACCGGCAACAGGATCACAACCCTTGGTGTCGCGCCCGCTCCGCGCTCAACCAGTGAGCAGACTGGTCTCTATATGGGATTCGAACCCTCAGCGGGAGCGCTGCACTCTACCGAGTGCGCCACCGGGCTGGCCCAGAGAAACCTATTTCACCTGTCATTGCATTTGATTTTTTGATACTGGGCATCTCCCTTTTAGTTTTAACTGTTTATAGATGGTGTGTTAGGCAGAGAGAGCTGTGATCTACAAGTTCTTAATTGTGTTTGTTTTTAATACAGAAAAAGAGGGATAGAATTTCCAGTTATTGAGCACTTATTGTGCATGTGCACTTTATAACTTTACCTTAGACTGACCTCCCAAGTCTAACTCAAACCTGCATACTTATTTGCTCCACCATCCTGTGAGGGAACCATGAGCTAAAGGGAGGTGGTATTACCTCCATTTCACAGATGAAGGGGCTAAGGCTCAGATTGCTTGAGTGACTTGCCCAATAGCACCCAGCTAGGAAATGACAAATGAGATTTGTCCCTGGTTCAAGCACTCCCAGCATGTTCAATGCATCAGCAATTGCTCAGTGCCCCATGAGAACCCCAGGGAGAGACAGATGCTGTCCAAACTTGCCTTCCAGCTGGAGTAAACTTACCTCACCAGGCCTGGCTCTTTTCACTGGCCCAGGTACTTTCATGCCTTCCAAGCTCCAGTCTTGCTCTTACTACCATCACTGAGGCTGCTTCAGCCAGGGCCTCAATAAATGTTTTGCAGTTCGATAGCACAGTTTATCATCATATGTCTTGTAAAATGCACACAATGATTTTCAGGGTTCTAAGGACCCCTAAGAGAAAAGTGTTTTTGTTTGCTGCATGTGACTGAATTTTAAAAAACACCCCCTACAATTTAATATGTAATTCAGGATATTTCAGACCAGCCATTCAACTTATGCAGCAGTTAAATGTTTCGTGTTTCCCCTCCAAGTCCTGTGTGCTAGCTGTCTTCCAGTTCTAAATGTTCCTATATTTATGACCAAGGCAGCTCAAGGTTCCCTCACAGGCTGTTGGAGTAAGGAAGTATGCAGGTTTGAGTCAGACAGACTTGGGAGAAAAGATCCTCCCAGGTTCCCATAGGAACAACAAATAAAAATCCATCTAGCCCCTCCTCCTTAGTACTCACTCTAATTCTGTGTGCTGAGTTTAGCCAGTTAAGCCTCAACCCTGGGTTAGACACTTTACAAAAAAGTTTATTCACTCCCTCTGTGGTATAGTAGCTAGAGCACTGGACTGAATACTTGGATACTTTGGCCCCTTCCTCAAGCTCCTTTCCAGACATTGGCACACAATGTGATCTTGGGCAAGTCAGTTCACTTCTCTGAGCTGCAATTTCTTCTTTTATTTGATAGGCTTAGAAATGTCATTTTTCCTAAGGAAAAAAAAAATACTATGCAGAGGTACTTGGTTGAGACTTAATAAATGAATATTTGTTCATATATTTAAAATGTATTACTGAGTACTTAACTCTTTTCTAGGTCCTATCAAGGCCTTAGATCTTACAGAGGATATTTTTATGATCTATTACAAGTGCTGTAAAAATAATGACAATGATGTCATTATCACCCCTTCCATAATTATTGCTATGTGCCAGGCCTTTTTCTAATTGTTTGATATAGATTAATTTAATCCTTAAAACAGCCCTATGAAGTAGATACTATTATTCTCTCTACCATACAGATGAAGGGACTTAGGCTTAAATAGTTAAATAACTTGCCCGAGATTGTACAGCTAGGAGTGGCAGAACCTGGATTTGAACAAAGGTGGTCTGGCTCCAGAATTCATACTCTCAACCACGATGTGGTTCTGCCTCTCCCAGAATACACAGAATTATGAGTGAATAGAAGAAGGACCTAAAATTCTGTCTAGGTGGTGGTAGAAAGCTTCACAAAGGAGGTGACATTTGGATTGGATTTTAAAGGGCAAGTCCAATATTGTTATTAAGGAATGGTGTTTCAGGGTTAGGAAAGAATAGACTCAAGGACAAAGAGGAATGTTGAAGAGTCTAGAGGCTTTGTGGCTTGAGAGTAAGGTAAGTGGGCAAGAGGAAGGCCATAATGGGCCATGGTGCAGGGAGGCAAGCAGCCAAGCTATCCTAAGATTAGTGAGAGGCCTGGAGTATGGGGGTGGAGGAGAGGGAATCTAGGGTTTTCTCTAGAGACTGCTGGAATCTGCATGAGATTTAAATAAGCTCTCAGTCCTGAAGAAGGAACAAAGGGTGTTCTGAACATCCAATCTAATATTTATCAATTCCTTGTTAAAGATATCAGAAGAAGAGATCGAAAGGATCATGTCTGGGCAAGAGTTTGAGGAAGAGGCCAATCACTGGAGCAACCATGGTGACAGCGACCACAGTTCTCCTGGGCACAGGGCTTCAGAGAGCAACCAACCTTCACCAGGCTCCACACTGTCCTCCAGGTGAGCTTTAAGCAAACCCAGCATCATCATCTAGGAACCACTCAAAGAGTAGACCCATAAAAAATCTCTGGCCTAGTAGTCCTGCCAGGTTGTCTCAGCCATTGTACTCTTTGTCTCTTAGGCTCTTTTTTTTTTTTTTTTTTTTTTTTTTTTTTCCTTTTTGTCTTTTTTACTGACCAGTAACGGGATCGCAACCCTCAGTGTCGCGCCCGTACCAGGAACCGGAAACAGGATCGCAACCCTCGGTGTTGCGCCCGCACCACGCTCAGCCAGTGAGCGGGAACCGGTCTCCACATGGGATCCGAATCCTCGGCGGGAGTGCCGCTGCGCTCCCAAGCGGCGCACTCTCCAGTGCGCCACCGGGCCGGCCCGTCTCTTAGGCTCTTTTTTTTTTTTTTTCCTTTTTGTCTTTTTTACTGACCAGTAACGGGATCGCAACCCTCAGTGTCGCGCCCGTACCAGGAACCGGAAACAGGATCGCAACCCTCGGTGTTGCGCCCGCACCACGCTCAGCCAGTGAGCGGGAACCGGTCTCCACATGGGATCCGAATCCTCGGCGGGAGTGCCGCTGCGCTCCCAAGCGGCGCACTCTCCAGTGCGCCACCGGGCCGGCCCGTCTCTTAGGCTCTTGGGGTAGGGTCCAGGAGATGCAAATCAGTGTTTCCCAGACCATTTTATGCTAAGGACCTTGAATGTGTCAGGGGTCTCTTCTACAGACCTATAAAATGCTATCTATTCATGCCCATATATTCTTCACTTAACAGAATAACATTTTTTTTTTTTGTCTTTTTCATGACCGGTAAGGGGATCACAACCCGTGGTGCGGTGTCGCCCACACTGCGCTCAGCCAGTGAGTGCACCGGCCATTCCTATATAGGATCCGAACCCGCGGCGGGAGTGTCGCTGCGCTCCCAGCGCCGCACTCTCCCGAGTGCGCCACCGGGCCAGCCCGAGAATAACATTTTTAATGTAGCTCTTTTCCCTCATTTATTTTATTACTGAAATAAAACAAAACCACATTTACAATGTTGAATTAAGTTATAATTTCTCCACCTCACAAGAGTCAGTGTTTTTGACTTTATAAATTTTAAGAAATAGTAAAGGCTTTTTACAGCAGGCAAATTGCTGCTATAAAGAAATACAAATTTAGAGACTCTTGGTTCAAGCCTGGTATCTTAAGTTAGTCATTAGGTGTGAAATGGAGCCATCAGCTAGCAGGGAAGATTTCCTTTTCCCAGAAACCTTTCTTATAGGACGGCGTTGGCAAACTACTTCTGTAAAGACCAGATAGTGAATATTTTAGACTTTGCATATCTAATGGTCTGGGTCTCAACTACTCAACTCTACCTTTATAGCATGAAAACAACCACAGACAATATGTAAACCAATGATGTGGCTGTGTTCCAATAAAACTTCATTTACCAAAATGGGCCATGGGCTGGATTTGGCCTGCAGGCTGTAGTTTGACGACCCTGTATAGGAGATAGATCTAGGTAAAAGCTATAGGATTTTTTTTTTTTTTTAATTAGCGACAGAGTGGTTAGATTTCTCCAAGAAAGGTGAGGAAGGTAAGAATGTGCCTTTCTCCTTATATTTAATAGTAGCTTTTATTCCATTCAGCTGTTCTTAGTTTGTTCCTTTGAATATTTATGGAGTTGTTGTCACATGCCAGATTCCTTGCTGGGTGCTAAATTTGTTTTGTGGCCTCACAAAGCATTTAGCCTATCTGTGCCTTAGTTTCCCTAAGAGTAAAATAATAAAAATACCCATTTTTAGTCTATCAGTATCCATTAAAAACCCTCCAGATGTGGCACCTGTACAAAGAATTCATTCAACCAATATTATTCACTAACTACTCTGCCGAGCATTGGATGTCCAGTGTGAACCCCACATTCCTGCACCTGCAGAGTCCTTGTCTCACAGATGAGAATCTAGTAGTGGAGACATTCACGTAACCATTAATTACGTCCCCTGTCTTGATAAAGACAAGACCTCATGGCAAAAAGAATGCCTAAGCCACCTTCTGGTTCATTTCCTTTGAGTAGACACTAGGCCTGCCATGGCTCTGCTTGACAGGAGACTTTTCTCTTCAGTAGGTCTGTGGAACTAAATGGATTCATGGCATTCAGGGAGCAGTACATGGGAATGTCTGTGCCTCCACATTATCAATACATACCACACCTTTTTAACTATTCTGGTCACTCGCCACTTCTGCCCCAACAAGCTCGCAGCTTGGATCCCCAGTCATACAGTCTGATTCACCAACTGGTATCAGCCGAGGACCTAGAGCCACTGGGCACGCCTATGTTGATCGAAGATGGGTGAGTGAGCTCTGCCCTGCTTGGCCCCTAAAATCTCGGAATGTCCCACGCACACCCACCTGCACCCGGGCAGGTGTACCCCAGGCTTTGGGACGAGTCAGGATAACAAGTGAAGACTGAAGCATGAGAGGTCAAATCTCTGCTTATCTTTGATGTTAACGGTCCCTTATTTTTTCCTTAAGCATATTTTCTCATGGAGTTAGGGTTACTTCTCAGTCCCTCTGGAATTGGAATTGAAGGGCCTTTGTTTCTGCTTGGGCCTAGGTAAGATTAGGTGTGAGCATTTGTGTGTCAGAGATGAGTGATAATTCTGGGCATAATCATACATCAAGTTTAGGCTCCTTAACAAGGCACTCAAGGCCCTAACTGGTCGCGGCCTGTCTGCATCTCTAGCCATTGTATACATAGGTAGCCTAGCCCGCCTGAGAGGGTGGATGGAATACTCTTTCAGTACTCAGTTGGCCCTATCTGAGTTGGCCTGGAGCATAGGCTGTTTGAATGTTATCAAGCTTAGATCTCCTAAAAGGTAGCCTGAGATTTCTTATGCTGGTTTCCAAGATTCAGAAGAGGAGACTCAAATATCTACTTACAGGAAGGTCACACACACCTTTATAAGTCTGGATGTGAGATTATGAGGAAGAGTCATGCCAGGGGGCCTTGAGAAGAAGACAGCTGGGACCCTTAAGTCCGTGGCCTCAGAGGCCTCCAGAGTTGAGAAATTCCCTGCTACTTCCCTCTAGCTGTAGCTTAAAGGAAGGGTTGAGCAACTCTGGTTCCTGAACTCTCACCACCAGGGGGTGCAGTGAGAGCAGGAAAAGCTTCTGAACTTGTTCTGTTCTCTTCAGCCATCTGGCCCTGAGATACATTTTTGTGCCAGTCCCTGTATTGGTTGGGCACCAGATCCACCCCATGGAGTTCTCATTGCCAAAACTAGGGCAGGAATGCCTGGGAATTTTCTCTAGGACATGGAATATTAGAGGATACCTGAGCTTGCTACTGGTCTCAGTCCTGTCCCTTTATCAGAAAATTGAATGGAACTCGAGACCCATGGTCAGAGGCAAGGAACTTACTGCCAGGAACCCTTTGTGCCCTTAGTAGTATCCTCTCCCTGTGCCCCTGTCCACCCCTTCTGGCCAATGGAAGTGACTTTCCCCTGTCCCTACCCCCCAGATATGCTGTGACACAGGCAGAACTGTTTGCCCTGCTTTGCCGCCTGGCTGATGAGCTGCTCTTTAGGCAGATTGCCTGGATCAAGAAACTGCCTTTCTTCTGTGAGCTCTCAATCAAGGATTACACATGCCTCTTGAGCTCTACGTGGCAGGAACTAATCCTGCTATCCTCCCTCACCGTTTACAGCAAGCAGATCTTTGGGGAGCTGGCTGATGTCACCGCCAAGTACTCACCCTCTGATGAAGAACTACACAGGTGAGGGCTGCTGGCTGGGGAAGAAATCCCAAGCAACCAAACTGTTGTCATCCCTGCAAAGCAGGGTTGTGTAGCCCTCCAAAGGATGAACATTAAACCACACTCTGCCACTGACTAGCTTTGTAACCTTGGCCAAGTCTCTGATCCTCAGCTTCTGAATTTATAAATGGTATGATAACAGTACCTCTCCAAGAAGATAGTTGTGAGGAATAAATATTATACAGTCAAGCTTGACAGAGTGCTAAGCTGTTGTTTTTCTTATTTCAGAATTACTGAGATAAGATAATATATATGGTGTATTAGTCTGTTTCTGTTGCTTATAACAAAATGCCTGGAACTGGGTAATCTATAAAGAAAACTAAATTTATTGCTTACAGTTCTGGAGGCTGGGAAATCCAAAGTCCAGAGAACACGACTGGTGAGGGTCTTCTTTGGTAATGGCTTTACAGCAATGCAGGTATCTCACATGGCTGAAAATGGCAGAGCAGAGCAGAGAGAGAGAGAGAGAGACCATCATTATTAACCCATTCACTACAGCATGGGCCTACAATCTAATCACCTCTTCAAGGCCCCACCTTTCAATTAACATAATAGGGTTTCACACTCTCAACAGTTACAGTAGAGATTTAAGCTTCAATGAGGTGGGGGGTGGGGGAATGCATCCAATCTACAGCATATGGGAAAAACAAAAATCTGAACTCAAGGTCTTGCTCTACAAGGCAAGAGGAGCTCTGAACTGTAGTTTACAGTCCAAGAAGGAGACCTAGGGATCATTGTACCTATTGCGTGCCAGGCACTAGGCTAGATATTTTATATCATTGTCTTATTTCTTTCTAACAGCCTCCAGCGTTATGGGTGTCTTTATGCCTGTTTTATAGATGAGAAAACAGAAGTTCAGAGAGACCCACCCATGACGGTTTTAGATTTGAATCCAGAGCTTGGATTCAAGCTTATGCCTGCCTCACTTCAAGGTTTAGGCTCTTTCACTGCATCTGAGATGCAATGAGATGTTAAGAACAGAGGACTAAGAGATCGAATAGTTCTCCTCACTGTTTTCTGGCATGACATTTCATCCCAGCTGGCTGGAATCCTTCTAACTTCTCTGTCTAGAATGGGTTATCTTTTTCCCTGCTGCTACATAGCCTGTCTATGCACACTTTTTACTTACTCACTTTGGAGACTTGGGGCACACAGTGATCATATTTCCTGACCCCCAAATCAGGACAAATGATCTGTTGAGACAGCTTTTCTGGCTTATTAATTTATCCATATGAAAAGTCTTATAAAGTTTAATTCACATTTAAATAGATATTTCAATAAATCACATTTATTAGATAGTTTAAAATAGTGGAAGTCATAGAATTCCAAGGCACCCATTGATGAAAACTGGAGAGGGTGGAGTACCAACACCCACACTTCTCTTCACAAGACTGGTTTGCATCTCCCCCCTGCCACCCAATCGTGGCATAAAGACAAGCCAAGGCTCAAGCTGGGAGCAAAGCTCCAAGACCCTCAAGTGCCCTTTACACAGCTGAGGGAGGGAAGACTTTGGGTGCTGACTCTGTTCCCTGGTTTTCTAATATTTTCTTATTCATGATGGTTTCTGGCTTCAGGGTGATCTATAAATGACAGGGTTTTGAACCCAGCTGACACTTTGTCCTGTAAACAGAACTATCTGATTTTGTAGATGACCTAACCTCTTGTCCAAAGCTTCTAATTCATTGTTCCCATCAAATTCCTGTCTCCTGCTTCATAACACTGGGCCGATGGGGTGTTTGGATAGCACTCAGCCTACTCCAGTGTCAGAGCTGGCCCAGGGAGCCTACCCTCCCTATTTGCCTGGAATATACCAGTTCAGCCCGGTGCTGCCTATAGAGTTTAGCCTCTGAGCTCCATTCATTACAGACTGGTGGGTTTTCCCAGGCCCTCTACAGGTTTAGGGGATTGGGAGGCAAATAGAAGCAAATGCAGTCTACAGTGAAGTGTTATATTGGTGGCAGGGGTCAGTGGCAGTACAGGGTGTTCTGTGGCTTTGAGCTTCATAAGGCATCGCATCTCACTGTAGCCAATCCCTTGAGTCCCAAGACCAAGGCAGAGACCAATAACAGCTGATAAACTTAAATTAATTAAAATTAAAGATTTAGTTCCTCATTTGCACTAGCCACATTTCAAGTGCCCAGTAGCCACATACAGCTAATCGCTACTATATTGAAGAGTGCAAATACAGAACATTTTCATCATCATAGAAAGCTCTGTTGAACAATGCTAACTCTGGGACACATGTTGCTGCTGAGTACTCAAGTGGATTCTGAGGATAAGAAATGGATTTGTTGTTAGGACTCTTACTCTACTATGGAATCCGTCAATGGAAAAGTAAGTGTTAAACTTCAACTTGTTAGTTCTGACTCCATGGCCATTTACTGAGCATCTATCGGGTATGTTTGGGGAAGAAGCTGGGATCATAGATGATGGAGATATGGTTTCCGACTCTGAGAGTCCCTATTCTTGGTTTAGGGGGTTGGGAGGCAAATAGAATCAGATACAATCTACAGTGCATGGGTCTATTGAGGAGCATATGAAGGACAGTACAAGGTAGACTAGGGAGTGAGTGCCTACACCTGCAAAATCAGGGAAGGTTACCAAAGGAATAGATGTTTCAGCTGAACCTTGAAGTGAGAATTTTCTAGGTACATTGTAGAGAAGAGGACAAAGGCAGGAGAATAACACGAAGTCCTAGAAATCCTGGATGGTTGTTATATGCAGGGAATTAAAAGCAATTCTGTGGATAAGATTATAGGGGGAATGTATCTGAGAGAGAGAAATGAGGGAAGAAATGACTAGAAAGAAAGGTTGTGAAGGTGCTCCAAATGCCAATCTAAAGAATTTGGACTTTATTGTGTAATAGTTTTAAATTATAGCAAGTTTTTAAATGGGGGAATTACACAGTTGGGTTCAGTTTTAGAAAGATCTCTCTGGCTGTAAAGCTCAGGATGGATTGGCATGGACAAGGCTAGTCAATGGCTGGGTAGGAGGTTGTTCCATAGCCCAAGGTAAAAGAAAACATGGCCTGGACAAGGCAGCAGTGACCTTGGGATTAGACAGAGCAGCACAAAGTTAGGAGATGTCAAGGAGGTAAAGTCAGTGGGACTTCAGTGAGTGAAAAAAATTGGGAATGACTGCTGGTTTTTAGACTAGCTGGGCAGGTGGGCACCAATTCTTTTACCCAAGATGAAGGAGCCTGAGAAGAATAGGATGGGAGATGCACCATTCTGAGTTTGGTTTGGATGTCTATGGAGTCTGAGATGCATTGGGACTGCTAGGAAGTCATAGGAAATGGCAGGTCAGGAACCTCTGGAGACAGGTTAATCACTGTAAAAGGTAGTCCCCACTCTGTTGGAAACTCAGGGTGTGGCGTCTGTAATTGGCCATAGCTCTTTCCTACCTTTCCTGCTCCTGCATTGCTCCCACTCCCCCAGACTATCTGTACAACTCTTGAGTGCAAGTGAGTTCCTGCTGTCATGAAAGGCTTTTCTCAAATGATACATGACCACCTCCTTTTCTCTTCTCAAATATTGAATCAAATTTATGGTGCCCATATTCCTTAATCAGACTGTTATCAGACAGTGAGCCGAGTGAATTTGATTTAAAACAGATTGTAGCACCAGCCAGTGACTGCTCCTGGCCCTAATCAAGACTCCTTCACCCTCAGGAGAAGATGCCTTGAGCTAGATGGGGTTTAATGGGCACTTCTATCTCATGAGCACTGGCTCCATTTCTGCCAGATCTCTGGAAAACTTTCCCTCCCAGCTTCCCTGCCTATAAGGCTAAGGAAACACAATCTTTTCTTTTGGCTGCAATAATAGGAGTGATGATGATAAAGCTATTAATAATGATAGTAGCTAACAATTATAGAGTATTGTGACAAGTTCCGACTTAAGTGCTTTATGCTCATTGTTAATATGTTAATTGTTGAGTTCTCACTGCCACCCCGTGAGACTGGCACTAGTGTTACTCCTGTTCTAGAGATGAGGAGCATGAGATTTAGAGAGGTGAAAACTAAAGGCTACAAAGCTAGAAAGAGATGAAGTTAAGATTATCACCTACGTCTATTGTGCTCCAAAGCCAGTCTCTTTACTGTTACCCTATACTAGATTCTTATTCTCCCAGAGCCTTCTCAAAAGGTTTGACTTTCTGGAACTTGTCCTGGAGCTACAGTCTGACTTTTCATCTTGGAGTTTGTACACGGGTGCTGAGATAACATTTCCTCTAAGGTTGTGGCTGATGACTGCTCCTGGGGGTAGGTGCATTTAGATGAATGAAAAAGAGACAACTGGGCCTCTCAGCCCTCTTAATGGGACATAACTTATACAGTGTCAGCTTCTATTGCTGACTGAATGGTCCAGTGGTTTGGGGGATCTTGGCAGGAATGTTTGCCTTGTCCTAGCATGCTTGTGTAATGGGAACCTAGAAGAAGAATGGGTGTGTTTGTCCAACTTTCTGGCTTTGAATGTTGATAATTTGTAGACAGGGAATACAGGGGCGTCAGAACTGTGGAGTGGGCAGATGTGGAGGAGGCACGGCTGCAGAAGAAAGCAGGCCCATGGAACAGAGAACAACTTTGTTTATCAAGGGGTGGGATGCGGGGTGTGGAGGAAAGCTTTGCAGTCAGGCTGTGGAGACTGAGTGGGGGCTGCTGGGCTGCCTGCCAGCCCCCCACCACTGCCAGGGGCCCATGATGGTTGCCTGTTGTAGGAAATTTGGAAAAGAGGGATGTGCTATCCCCAAGAGAAAGGGCAGATCTGGGGCATATGCACAGGCCAGGCACTTGGGAGCTCCTTTGTGTCCCTCAGGTCAAGACTCAGACAGGGTCAGGTTTGGCACTGCAGGCTAGGGATCTGACTGATAGCCACACACCTGCAGGTTCTGCAGTGCCAGAGTGAGCACTTGGGGCAAGAGGTTGCTGATTAACGGACAGAGCATTATCTTTGCTTGCTACACTGCTCAGCCACCAAACAGATGCTGACACCGCTTCTCCCCTTGCATCCTCCTTTTTTCTGCTCTACCCCGTCTCTTCCACACTCCACTGCTATAATCAGATACTAAAGGGAATTGGCAGTAAAGACCTTTTTTCCTCTCAAAACATAAGTAGCCAACAAAGTACTATGATGAGGACTGGTCTTCACTCCCAAGCACATTGTATCCTGCAAGTCTCAGCTTTTCATACACTGCAGTAAACCTAACACTTTCCCAGGGATCTCCCCCACCTCACCCTGGGGGCCAAGTTGCCATGGGAACACAGAGCTCCTGAGGGTCCCCTCTGGTAGCCTTTCCCAGTCAGCAGTTAAGGACAAGACAGGATCAGAGGGTGGGCAGTGCAGTACAGAGAAAAGTCTACAGGCTTGGAATTAGAAAACCTGGGTTTGGACCTTGGCTCCCCACCTCTTATTTGCTATGTAACCTTGGGAAAATCACCTTTTTCTGCTTTCTCATCTCTAACATGGAGGTGGTATTATTTATCTCCCAGGTTATTGTTAATATGGTAAAATGTAAGAATGCATGTGAAAGGATGTAATACATAATAGGGGCATAGTAAATAACCTCTCTGAGCCTTTGTTTCCACATGTGAATAAAGGGAATTATGATTAATATCCATTTTGTGGAGTTATTGGGAATATCCAGTGAGAATATATGTAGAATACTTGAAGTGCCTGGCAGGTAGCGAATACTCAACAAATGGTAGAATGATAAAAGTTGTTACAGTGGTTATTGAATATTGAATTGTCTATCAGCCAGTCTAGGAAAGTGTCAATAAAGTGGTAAAAGCCATTGGGCCAGGTGCAGAGAGAAACTGAGTCAGCCATCATAGCTCAAATCAGCAAACTGAAGAAGTCTGGTCTCAGATTGGGAGCCATGCCATGAGGCAGAGGGTCAGATTGCAGATACTATACCTGCTGCTGTGGCTCCCCCTGGTGCTTGAGAAGTGCAGGTGCCTCTGACCCCAACCAGAGCCAGGCTTTCCCAGGGAAGAGAAAAAGCCCATCTTGTCCAGGAAGGCAAAGCCTAGCAAAGCCTTCAGAATTAATGTGGAAACCAGTAAAGCCTAGAAGCAATAGTGCATTCCCAGGTGTTCTGGACCCTGCCCAGATAGGGCCTTCTTGCCCAGATCTGAACATGTCACCAGGAAGTAGCCCTGGAGCTGAGCATCTTCTCTTTGTGACTGAGCTCCATCTAAGACTCATCTGAAACTCCCCTTGGCCCACTGTCCACCCCACTCCTGGAATGATTCAGGCAAGACCTTACCCCAAATCCTCACTAAATGTTTGCCTCCTTAGTTTGGAGGTATCTTCATCCCAGTATGAAGCATACCCAGAGCATTAGTCCCCCGGGGTGCATAGCCTGGGCCTCCTTTGCCTAAAACTTGGTCTTTCCCCAAGGTGTTCTCTCCTAACTCAAAGAAAGGAGGTTGGCCAGCTTTGGGCCCCTGTGCTAGGGGATACCACTTTAGATATTGGAAGAAGCAGGTCCTCAAGGAGTTGGCCCAGGTTCCAAGTTCGAACTCCAATTAGGTGTGTGCTTGTGGACCAGTCCCCTCTCTTCTTTCAACTTTGTTTCTCATCTGTACATTGGTGATGATTATCACACCTAGCTCATAGGGTTGTGAGAATCAAATGAGATAATACACAAAGTGCCCAACACAGAGACTGGCATGGCACGGGGATTCAGGTAATGTTTCTCTCTGTCCCTAGCTGAAGTCAGGGCTGCCAATAAAAATTTTCTCTGTGCTTAATCTCAGCCCTTCTGGAAACAGTGAACGTAAATACATACAACCTGCACCTTTTTCTGCATTGTGTCAGAGGCTTACATAGAGTCACCATGGCAGCTGCCATTGATACTGGAGGCTGCATCTCAACAATAGCAGTATCTTAATAATGTCATATTTTTCCATATTTACATCCCAAACCACCTTTGGCCCTTGTTAGCCCAAGCAGGCAAGCATTATCATCTTACAGAGGGGGACCTCAAAGTTTAGAGGGGTCAAATGACCTTCCCAAGCTCTCATAGCTGTGTATAATGGAACTGGATTTGAACCTAGATTTGATTGACTCCATCTGACCTTGAGAACAACAGCTTGCATGAGCTATGTTGGCCTCTAGACAAACCATGGATGTGCCTGTCCTTCACAATGGCTGTGGAGTCCATTTCCCCCAAGCCCAGCCTCTTTCCTGTTGTAGATGCCTTGAGGAGCTTTACGAGCCCTCTGTCTGCCTTTGCTTGGCCTCCTCTGGTATCAGAGCCCACTATTAACACCTGTGTCTATTCTCCAGATTTAGTGATGAAGGGATGGAGGTGATTGAGCGGCTCATCTACCTGTATCACAAGTTCCATCAGCTGAAGGTCAGCAATGAGGAATATGCGTGCATGAAAGCAATTAATTTCCTAAACCAAGGTGAGTGGCTGGAGGCAGAGAAAAGAGACTTTCTTTTGGTCAGTGAACATTTACTCTCCTTGTTTAACCCCCCTTACCCTCAGGACTGTAATACAGAATCTGTCATACCACATGGCTACCAATCTTGGATGGCCTATGCTCCCCCTTGTCATCACCTTGCCCCTTTATAGTGCAAGGAATGCTTAGGATTTTTTCTTCAAACCTAAATGCCACAATCTCTATAACTCATGGAGGAAGGAAGAGTATTCGCTTTGTTTAGTCAGTTTTAATGCATTTAAACACAGACACCAAGGACAGTACATGCGTCATTTAAAGCATGTACCAACTTTACCAGTGACTGAAGAAGAGCAGAGTGACTGATGAAACTGTTGGAGATAAGGCCTGTGTGACAGGGCAGAGTGGGGGTGCACAAAAACTCACATGCACATATCAAACATGGCTTTTAATTAGAACAGTGCCGATGTGATTTATGTGGAGTATTTCCTGCAAGTGGCGCTTGGTAGCTGCTGGTAAGCATTACATGAAGGAGAATTTGTATTCTCTTTTTTCCAAAGTAGCATATGAGTGTTCACTCCCAGAGTGAAACCAGGCTATTTTGCTGCCTGTGGCATTGAAAGTGCTCTTTTCCTGTATTCAGTTGCCTAGTCCAGAGACTCTTGATCTCCTGCTTTTTGCCCATTCTCCCCCCCGCCGCTGGCCAAACCTCCTCCTCCTGCTTCTACACCATTCATGCATTTATCTTGTGTTCTTCATGCCTTCCCTAGGCCAAGCCCTGTGCTGAGCATTAAAGACATTGAAAAAAAAAAATTAGACCCCAGGTTTCTGGCCTCAAGAAGTATACATACACTCTGATGGCTCTTAACACATTACTTCATTACCTCAGATGGGGGGAGATCAGTAGCAACTTTCTGGAGGAAGAGAAATATAAGCTGAGCCTCAAAGCCTGGGTAAGATTTATATATAGAATATTTATATTCATATTCTATATATAAAAAAGATGTGTGTGTGGATAGATAGAAAAAATGGAGGGACAGCCCAGGTAGAATAGTGAAAACAGAGGCAGACAGGAGATTGTGTGTGTGTGTGTGTTTCAAGCATGGATGTGTAGGTATCAGCAAGGTTTCTGATTGGCTCCAACAAAGGGCAAATTTAAAGATACTGTGAAGGATGAATTTGGAAAGGTCGTGTGTGTGTTTCAAGCATGGATGTGTAGGTATCAGCAAGGCTTCTGATTGGCTCCAACAAAGGGCAAATTTAAAGATACTGTGAAGGATGAATTTGGAAAGGTAGATTATTCAGTCATTTGTTCAACATTCACTGGTACCTGTTTTGAACCAAACCCTATGTTGGCAGCTGGGTATGAAGCTGAGAAAGCCATATCCTTGCTCTCAAAGGGCTCAGTCTAGTGACTGTGCTTTATATTATTTTATTCTTCTCTACCTTATTTCTCTTCCTTTATCCAGAGCTTAGTTCCTCCGTATTAGAAAGAGAAAAGATCCCTGTCGTGACAACATTTAATGACTTTTAATTGAAAGGTACACATATTCAAGGAGCTGGTGTTTCTTTCACATAAGAAAGCCCCTCCCATTCCCTCTGGTTTTTTCACAGATATCAGGGGTCTGAGCAGTGCCTCACAGCTGGAACAGTTGAATAAGCGATACTGGTACATTTGCCAGGATTTCACTGAATATAAATATACACACCAGCCGAACCGCTTTCCTGATCTCATGATGTGCTTACCTGAGATTCGATATATTGCAGGTAATATCCTGGGTCTTGGGCTTCCAGCCCTTGCTTCTCTTAGCTTGTGAAAGGAAGGAATCGAGCAGTGTTTTCAGGATGCTGATTCTAGGCCTTTCATCAGCTACATAAAAGAGTTATTACCCTTTCCCTCAGAAAATTTCTATTATAACTGGAAGTTTGTGTTTCTTTGTAGAGAAGAGAGGCTAGCATTTCCTGAGCTCCTGTGATATGCAGAGAGTCCTTTATGGCCTTATATCATTTAATCTCAGAACAATCACTGCAAGGCTGGTGGCTGGTAATATGGCCATTCTGTGGATGGGGAAACAGGCTCAGAGTATCTCAAATTAATTTCATTTCCTGAATTATATACTATATGAGTGGATTTTATGGTATGTGAACTATATTGCAATAAAAAAAATTAACTTCATCTCATAGAATTGCCCATGAGCTTTAGGGGATCATTTATTTAAACTGATATCTTTAAAATCCTTCGTTTACAATGGAATTTTGTGTGTTGGAGTGTGTATGTGTTTGTGTGTGGTCTTGACCCCCTTCTGATCTTCTTGACATTTAAATGGATCTATTTCAATATAAAATCCTGGCTTTTTTTGTTGTTTATTACTTCATTTAGTAAAAATTCTTTTGTTTATAGCTGTCCAGCACATACTGAGGAGCAGCTCAGAAATGTGACCTCTAGTCTGGCATTGCTCCTATAAAATTCAGCAATACAATTTTTGAAGGAAAAAATTTTCAATCTGACAAGGGCCACGGAGTGGTCTAGCAGATGTGAGCTAGACCTAAACTATTGGAATTTTAGGGATATTCTGATAGTTTGTTTCAGCATTTTATAAACTATATTCTACCAGATAGGATGTTAGTCAGGTGCTCTGTGAAATAAAGGCAAGCCAATAATTAAACACCACTCTCCCCTATAGAACTGATTTCTCAGCCCTGGCAATACTTTTGGTCACCTGGGAAGCTTTAAAAATATCAGTGTTTGGGTTACACCTTCAGAGATTCTAATTTAATTGGTATGAGGTGGAGCCCGAGCATCAGTATTTTTAAAACACTCCCCAGGTGACTCTAAGTTACTGATGGAGACAACCACAGCCTTAGGTATTTACAAAGCATATTAGCACACTAAAAACTCTAAGTCCTTCAATACAGAAACCTGTAATGCTCTTTCAACCCTGAATTTCTCAAATTTGCTTCTGTAACTCTCCCCCCTTTTTACCTCCTGTACTTTTATTAACCTGTTATACTATTCTGAGAGGCAATGCTTTGTAGAATGCTAGTTAGAGAATCTACCAGGAAAAAAAAGAAAACAGGATATAAGTTTCTCATGGTATTTGCTCTAAGAGGACATCTAGGACTACCTCTAAGTTTCAGATTTCTCATCTATAAAATGGAGATAAAAGGTGATATCTGTTACACAGAAATATTGTGAGAATAAAATGAGACAATGCTTTTAACCACCTAGTACAGAGTAAGTATTTCCTGGGTAGTAGAATGATTATGAGATGGAACCATCTCTAGACTCCCTATGGCACCAAAATGGATCTGGATAGCAGGATGTTAGCCCAGTCTGTTTGGCGTTTGTGATGCTTCTGGCACTTCTCTTTTCCTAGTCACTCAGCAAAGTGATATCCTTCCTCCAACAGCCCAAGAGGAGGCAGACTTGCCCTTCCACCAGTGGCCACTGCTAACTCTTCTTCTCCCACCTTGTTTCCAGGAAAGATGGTGAATGTACCCCTGGAGCAGCTGCCCCTTCTCTTTAAGGTGGTGCTGCATTCCTGCAAGACAAGTGTGGGCAAGGAATGACCTGTTCCCAGCACCCTCCTCAGGCCAACCACAGCGCCTTGGGTGGGCAGGACAGGCTCCGGAGGAAAGAGCCAGAGAGACCAAGGTGGAGGCTGTGAAGCAGTATTTCCAGTTGCCTCCATAGCAAGAAGAGTTTTTTGTTTGTTTGTCTGTTTTTTAACCTCATTTTTTCTATATATTTATTTCACGACAGAGTTGAATGTATGGCCTTCAACACGATGCACGTGCTTTTGTGTGAATGCAGCCAATGCATTTCCTTGCAGTTTACAGAATGTGAAGATGTTTAATGTTGCAGTGTTGTCATTGTTTAGAGATAGTTTTTTTGTATTTTGAGGGAGAGGGTGGGATGGGGCTAAGATGACTATTTCCATAATGTTGACAAAGACGACTACCTCAGTGGAAATGGGGGGAAAGGGGTGACCATCCCTACTTTTTCCACATTTTCTCAGGATACTCATACATTTGTCTGTCAGAGAGCAAACTGCCTTTTTCTAGCTACAGAATTGACAGGTAAAAGAGCACACCACAAAGGGGCAAAGTGTTGTTAGGAGATTTATTAAGCATGGTGGGTGAGATGTTGGAAACAGGAAAGATAAAGATTGAGCTATCTCTTTTCTTTGGAAAGCATGAGAGAGTAGGGCACAGTGACCAAATTTAAGGCAGGTGTCATCCCACCCAACAAATCCTAAGGGCAGAATGGTTTCTGTCCTCACACCCTGCTGCCCCACCCCCCTACACCACCACTGTCAACTTTTCATCCAGGCAAAGTCCTGGCAATAAATCAATCCATAGGACTTGCCTTCCAGCTCCTTTGGAGCTCATAGCTACCTAGTTTTCTTACGTGGATCTGCTAAGACCTACCTTCCTCAGAGTCCTTTCCTCTCCCTTATAAATTTGACTTCCTATTGGCCCTTTGAAAAAACTGACTGAGCAAAATGCCATGTTCTGAATACTGGTGCCCACTAATGATTTATTCTCTTTTCACTTTGTTTTCTTCAAAGCATAGTGGGAAAAAGGCCAGACTGCTATAAGAATAAATTTTCCTCCTTTGGAATCCACTGTTCCTCTCTCTACCCTACCTCATCCTAGCCCCCAGGACTGAATCCAAAAATTATACTCTCTTTTTTAAATAGTGGGAAGGACCATTTACCCACCTGCTGACCAGAAATTTTGCCCCTAAATTCTACTTCAAGTTCTGCTTATCTCTCCAAAATAAGACCAGGCTCCCTCAGGGCCCCAGAACAGAAAGCCCAAAGCCCAGAGTGGCCCAACTGCCCCTTACAATGTCAGTTGCCTGGCCAAGGCCTGGAGGGCTGCAGCCAAAAGCATCTGAAAGGGAAGGGGGGCTTTAAACTACCTCATGTTCCTAAGGGCCTGGCTGCCTCTGCAGATATGGCCTGGACCCCTTGTTCTTTTACTACCTACCCCACCTAATCCCAGGAAATGTTCCTTACCCTCTTGACTTTGGCCAATGGTCATACCAAGTTTGTCTTGAAACTCTTTCAGGTGCTTTTCCCTTCTCTGCCTTAGTATAGCAGTTGCCCCCTCCTATATGCAGGTACCTTCTGAAGCCAGTGCAGCAGACTGACCACCTAGTTGGGTGCATCCAGGGATCTAAGTGGTTCTGAGGGTCCCACAGCACTTCTTTCTGCCTGTTTAGTCAAAGGCTGTTTGCTCTCTCCCCAACTCAGCCTAATAAACCTATCCAGGAGGCCCCCACATTGTGTGCATACTGGGTAGTCTGTGTCTGATTGTAATTTTTTCTTTCTGTTGAAATGTTACGGGTACCAGCAGAGTGATGATTTTTTCCCTTAATGGATCTAAAACTCAGAGCATTGCTCCTCAATGCCATTTCCCCAACTGCTCTGAGAAAGAAAAGAAAGAAGAGACATGTTCCTCAGGAAAAGCTCCAACTAGCACATCAGTGGGAAGATTTTGTGTGTGAATGTGTGTATGTATCTGTTTATTTCTAAGTTCACAATATTTTTCTTGTTTCCCTGAATTTTTTATTTAACCAACTAGGTCACATTTTTTGGCTACAGGTCAGACTCTGAGCTGCTTTACTTAAGATAGGAGAGAGGACACATATCAAAAACCCCTTCTCCAAGATGGCTCCTGTGTGCAGCATCTTTCTTTGCTTAGACCTCCATCTGTCAAATTATTATTTTTTGAAATTGCTTTTCGAATTAAGCATTTTACCTGTTGTGTTGGGTGTCAAAGGAAATTGCTCTCTGATGAGGCAAGAACATGTCTCTCCAATAATGTAGTATTAAACGGAGAAAGTTGTTAATATGTGAAGTGGGAGAAATGTTCTGCAAGTTGCTGTTGCACAAATCCATTTTTACAAATGTTTGCAGCAGATTCCATAGAACAAAGAGCCCATTCATTGCTGAGAGCTCTGCAGAATCTCTGAGCCAAGTGGCCGTGTGTTCCGAGCCAGAGTCTGACCTGTGGACCGCCTTTAATGTCTTCTGCACCCAGTCCTTTTATGACGTGGGCTTTTTTTAAACAGGGTAAAGTGAATGTGTTGCGTTGCAAACTCAGGTATTATGAGAAGGTAGGAGTATAGCTAGCAACGTGGAGACATTAGGTCAGCCACTAGATGTATTTGAATTTGGTTTGAAGGACACAGAGAAAGGTTGGAGGAGAAGGTTTGGTATGTTTGTTTTTTGCCTTTCTTCCCATAATGTTTGGTTAACAGGTAGCCTTTTTGCTAGTGGGAGAAGAAAAAAGTTGTGTGTGTTGTCTGATTCCTCTTCTGTCCTCTCTCTGATCCCCAGCCACCAAAAGCACTCATTTTGAGTGAGAATTTTTCCACCATAAAGATATGACCTGAAAACTGTGTGGAAAAGCAGAACCCCATCTCCTTGTACTGCACTGAAACATGTAAGCTTTTACCTTCCTTCCCTTTTGAATGTTTTTTTTTGACCCAAGACAAAAGTTGGAATCTTGGAACTTCATCTGTAATTCATGCTCTCTGGCTCCCTTTGTAGACTTTTGGAGTCCTTCACAAGGTTTGGTATTCTTGCCCTTAGTCTGGAGAAACTCTCCAGAACCTGTCTCAGAAGCACTCCACCTGGCTCAGAGGACACCCAGCCCCCTGTGCCTGACCCACAGGTGAGGTGGGTGATCCTCGAGGGATAGAAGGAAGCAGGCAGGAATCTCCCTGTCCTGTTCCTCAGAACCAGAACAGGGATAGAGGGAACCTATGGGTGTCCATAACATCTCTGAAAGTCACCCATTCCACAACAACCTGCCTGTCACCTGCCACCCCTTCTCAGGGAAGTGAATACCCGCCATGGTCAGTGTCACCAGATCCTTAAAAGGCTGGGCTCTCTGAGCTAGCTGCATTGCTCTAAAAGTCACCCATTCCACAACAACCTGCCTGTCACCTGCCACCCCTTCTCAGGGAAGTGAATACCTGCCATGGTCAGTGTCACCAGATCCTTAAAAGGCTGGGCTCTCTGAGCTAGCTGCATTGCTCTGCTACCCATTTCCTACATTTGTTTATTCTTGATTTCCTGGAGAATGGGACAGATGGAGATAGACAAATCCACTGTGGGCAACATCTAAGCCATGGCTAAGGTTGGCCAAAGTAAGGTTGATCCTGGCCTCCCAGCAGGGTAGGAAGCTGAGCAGTGGTTCCAAGTCTTTAGCTCTGGGCCCCTGGTCTATGTCTCTCTTCCTCGTTGCTTTTTAAATGTTTGCAGTTGTTTTAAGAAATCCAGTCTTTCAGACCAGCTTTTCTATTAAACTTCAAATTTTTCTTTATTAATTTTTTTAAAGTTAAAAAAAAAAAAAAACTAAACAAAAAAACCCACTACTGTACTTTCTCCCCTTGATCCATGAGAGTTCCCTGCACTCCCTTCTGCCTTTGCAGTTGATCATCTCCCTTTTTCCTCAGCTTGCAGCATCTATGTCCAGTGTCTGTGAAATATCTGTGTCTCAGGATGAGAAACGGCAATTATTCCACCAGGTACTGGAAACTGGTTAGCCTTGAGGCAAGGGTTTCTAGGGCCACAGCTCAGGGATGTGTATTTAATTACAGGGTCCCTGGCAACCCCTGTCTTGGCTGCCACAGCAATATCTTCTTTTCTGGGCTTGGGAGCCAGACCTGGACTGTTTCCTCAGAGGTGGGAGCTCCAGAGAGCCTGCTGAGCCTGGGACCAAGCTGGGGCTTCCTCCTTGGCCAGACCTGGGCTACCTTGAGACTTGAAGACTTCTGGCTATCCTGCAACATGAGCCATGTTAGTGCTGCCTCTGCCAACTCATAAGAAGCCTGGTTCCTCTGTCCAGTCCAGTCCCCATTTGTCCTTCCTCTTCTTGGCCTGCAGCCCTACCTGAGTGACAGCCTGCTCGGGAACCAACTGTAGGCTCAAAGGGAAGCTTTGAGGAAGGCCATAGCCTGCTATAAGCCCAAGAAAAAAGTTGTGTTACTGGTGGAGGCAAGTCTTCCAAGTCCCGAAGCCAGCCCTGCCTGCCAAAGGACTGTCTTTGCCCTTTGGTGACCATTGTTTTCTTTCTCTGAAATTGTCTTGTAATAGGTGATAATATTGACTCAGATTTCCAATGAAAAGAAGAAAAAAAACTACCTCTTGAGTGACATCCTGGTCTATTCCTCTCTGAGGAATCCTGTGGGAAAAGAATACTGTAGCTCCTGCTCTGTTTACATGTTTCTGTCGGGAAAGAAACCCTGCCTGCCCTGGGGTGTTGGTGTTTTTGTCTGTGTTGCCATCCCAGGCCTGCGATAGGGGCTTGTGGCTGCACTGTAATGTCTGGGCTGTGCCTGGGGAGTCCTTCCCACCTGTCCAGCCAGGGACTAGCCACCCCCTTGAAGAGGCCTCCATTGCCTTCCTGTGGGGAGCACCACCTCCCACAAACACTATCTTTAGGGGTTCTGGTGGCACATGTATCCATGAGCCTACCCTTGAGCTACCTACCATAGGTCCACCTCCACCCACAGTCCTGTGTAGGAATTGAGTAAACGGGATGTCTCTGAGCCCTTGTCCCCAAAGGGCCGGCCAAGGGCTGCCTGCCAGCCTGGCTGCATCAACCCTGCATGACCAAATGATAGTTGGCGGGCTCTGCAGGCTACCCAGGCCCTCTGCTACCTCCCACCCTTGCCAGCTGGCAAAGGATGGGCTTTGTTCTGTGAAATGACTACCTGTGGAAATGTGACCAATTAGTGTGAAATGCATGTTTAGCAAGTGTTAGGTACTGTATTTGAACCAATAAATGTGAATCCTTCTGCACATGGCATCTGTCTGTGAAGCTTGTTTGGGGTTCTGGGGGGGGACGATGGGTCATCATGAGGAGCTGGCTTATGCCTTCAGACCTGTTGCTCTTGCATATAGCAGACAACCACCCCAATTCCTATTGCTGACGGGCTGGCAGAGGGTGGTCTCTCAGGACTGCTTGAATCAATGAACCAGCACTCATTGAAGAGCCTGCTCTGTGTGCCAGGCACTGTCTTGGGACTTTTCACAAACCTGGACCTCCTTGATCTTCAAGGATTATTACCTCTGTTTTGTAAATGAAGAAACTAAGGTTGAGAGAGACGAAGGGACTCACCCAAGTTCACCCAGCCAGAAATTGGCACAAGTAGAGGAACTGAGTAGTGGGAGAGGCACAGACCTTTGCAGTACAGTGGGATGAGGGTTGTAATTAGGGATGTGAGTGGGGTTGTAAAGGCCCAGAGGAGTGGCTTGTTCTACTCAGGATAGTCAGGAAGGGCTTCACAGACGAGTGTTGTTGAAGGTGGCCCTTGAAGAAAGTCACCAGGCAAAGAGGAGGACAGACCAGGTAGAGGAATCAACAGGATATTCAAAGGCCCATGTGTGATGAGAAAGATATGGAGTATTCAGTTCTAACAAGGGACTGCCACAGCAGGAATGGTGGCAAACGGGAGGGATTAGCAAGGGTTGAGGCTGAGAAGCAGTTGAGGCCTTGAATGCCATAGTCAGGAGTTTGGGGAAAGAAAAGCATCTCCTACGTCTCAGGAAAGCTGCATCTCAGGGACAGCAGTGTGCTGCTGGGTGGCCTGCTAGGTCTAGCAGGCAAATTAATACCTGTCTTTCAGAAAGTAGATGAGGTCCTTTAATAGCTTTTCTAGAGGTGAGAAAATGGAGGCACTGAGAGGTCAAGGGACATGGCAAAAGTCACATAGGAAGTGTCAGAGTCAGGACTTGAACCCAGATAGATCTGTCCAATCAAATTCCCAACTGTCCTGTAATCCTGCTCATACATTCAGTAGGTGGCAGAGTTTAGGTTGAGGGTTGTGTGAAGACAGATGGGAATGATGAAGGCTCCTCAGTCTAGGAAGACAAAGGCTGAGGAGAGTCTGAGCAGTCGATTAAATCCTCTTGTGTGAAATGAGGAAAGCCCAGCTGCCTTCCCATACCTCAGCCTCCATCACAAGGGACCAGAAAGCCCTTGAGGTTTGAAAGAGATGGTGTTAGAACAAAGGAAATACTGCAGAACAAATTAATTGACTGTCTTCCTTGTCTACGAGGTGCAAGGAGGAGGAGAAACACATTGGCTGTTCACCTAGTGAGTGCCAGGCACTGTGGTTGGTGCTTCACCTGTGTTGTCTCATGTAATCCTCATAACAACCCCGCAAGGTATAGTTCTCAGCCCCATTTTAGTTGCAAGCAAATTGAGGCTCGAGGAAGTTAAGCCATTTGCCTAAGATGACACGAGTAAGTGGCAGAATTGGCTTTTGAATCGAGGTCT